ATAAAACCCTGTGTGTTTGACTTGTTATGAAGACAAAACTCTTGCAGGTGTTGATTACTGGAAAAAAAATCATCAATTGAGTTGGCATATTTGGGTATCTGGTGAGCTTGGCCACATGGATGGGACAGGCTACTTAAGCAGTGACCAGTTCGGTGCAGGGCAATAATGATAGGATAGTTAGCACTGTTTGGACCATCATGCCAGCAATCCCCCTGCCCATTAACACTGCCTTGATGAAGAGTAGCACAGTGGAAAACTGCACAATAGTTATCACTGCTTGAAGCAAGTCGGATATAAGCCGCACTGTTTGGACTGTCATGTCAGTAACTTGCTGTAAGCCAAGTCGTTGCCGGTAGACTTGTTTTTTTCTTCTTTGTGGAGTTGCAAGGTGTTACAGAGGGAAAGGGGAGATAGCATTTGCTGACTGGGCTGTGAGTAGACCAGGCCAAACTGGCTTGTTTCTTCTTCGCAATCAGAGAGAGACAGCAACTAGCTTTTGTTAAAAAAAAAAAAAAAAAAAAAGGAAGGAAAAATCACTAGTATCTAAGCTGATTTTATAGGAGAAAGTGTGCTGACTAAAAAGTGGGAATGATACTGCAAAAATAAACAGGCTGCAGGGCAGCTGGTGCAGCAGGCTTTGCCAGAATAAAAGACTGAAATAATTCATCAACCCATTGCAAACATTTCAATATTTTCTGTTTCACATTGGAAGTGATGTACCCAAATCCCTTCCTGAGCAACTCTCCAGCCCTATTCAGGCAGTAAACTCCCACTAACGGCATCATGAGTTTTGCCTACACAGTGAGTGAGTCTACACATGCATTATGTGCTTTAGTGAATGAGCACTAGCCTATTTTAATGCACATTAACTAAATAGCACTGTTTTTTTCAGTGACTCTTTAATGAGCATTAAAATAGGCTAATGCACAATAAAGCACATGTGTAGATGCACCCAGTGACTGCAGATTCAGGCCCACATGTAGAAGCAGGGTTGGGTGTCAGAGTAGGAGTTAGGAGACCTGGGCTCAGTTCCTCAATATACTACTGCACTGCGGTTTCCCTTTGGTCAACACATACCACCATTTTACACCTCATATTCCCCACCTGTGGAATAGGGATAATGAAATAGTGGCAACCACTTTCTTGAATTTAAAGCACTACGTGCTCAATAAGTGAAAAGTACAATATGTACAATATTTGCATTCATTTTATTATACAGGCTTTTAGAGAAACGTGGATACTCATTCCCACAAAAATGAAAAGCCCTTAGACCAAAAACATTTAAAAGCACCAATTTTTCTGGATACAGAAAAATGACTCGCTGGAAAATAAAAGGGACATGTTCAAGATGATGTTTGTGATATTCAAATCAGAGATAAATTTCTAGTCAGTTGTAAACAATTATAATTTATCAGTATGTATTTATAGTCAAGCATATTTAAGCAGTATCTTGTGGCTTAATTAGGACTGAGGTTTCATTGCAGTAGGCAGGGTACACACACACAAAGCTGTAATCTTAGGAAAGCTTATGCTCTAAGGCCCCAACTCGGCAAACATGCCCATGCCCCTCTGAACATGAGCAGATGAAACCCTCCGAGAGGATTATAGTGTTGACTGCACACACTTTTCTCTTCACTATTTAATCCTAGTTGTTGTATCATTATAGTGATAAAACGAAAATGCTGATACAAATGAGTCTACAAATGAAGGATACTGTAAGAAAGGTCCCTACAACCACTAAACTTAATGGCACATCTGCATTTCCTTTACAAATCCCTGAAAACAAAGGGTTTTATAATCCAGCCAAAAATAGTCACTCCAGACTTGAACTTGGCATACAAAGTTTTAGCTAGGGAGCAATTTCTTGCTCTAGTTATACATTTTCAAGAAAAAACTGTTTGCCTGCTTATGTGCAAAATATGAGATATTTAAAGCATACCAGCGTTAGAATTCAAGGTTTTACCATAACTCAACAAGCTTTGATTTTACAGTGAAGTCACGGATGTTTTTAGCCCCCGATAGAAATAAAGCCTGGCTTCTCATTTGAAGCTACAGCAGGGATGCTGGGTAATTTAAAAGGCTGGCAATGAGGTAGAACGTCTACTTCAAAGTCACTGGTTAAAATACCGTCTGAGACAACACTGACCCAAGCATGCTACTGTTAGATGAGTATCTGATGGCCTTTGAGAAATGAGCTCACTGGTCTCAGTCTAGTTTCTAATGGATCAGGCTCTACATGATGCTAAATTAAATTTACTTGTAGGGAATTTCAGCAGAAAGGCCAACCATAATGGGCCATCTGCCTGTGTATTTAGTAACACTTAATCATGATCATAACCATTGCAGACTGCTGAAAGTAAATACTCGTTTCCCTGTAAAAGTGCTGTCTCCAGTCGGGTTGGTGCACACGTCAGGTGGATGGGGGGAGGGAAGCTTCCACACCCCACACTCTATCTGTTTTATAAGTAAATGGAGGACTTTACCTCCCTGGCTGTCAGCCTAGTACACTTCACCAAGCTTGACACATTAAGGATATGTCTAGACCATTTCCATGCACTCCCAGGAGCTCCACTGAGAAGCACAGCCTGCCTATCCACTCCTGCTCTGCATTCTTCAAACCCAGAAGTGGAGAGTCAATGAAGGCACCCGCCACAAGCCCCTATCATGGCTGTCTTGAGAATGCTGTCTCTAGCATGCTACAGGGTGGTGGGAATGAGGGGCACCCACAGGGTATCTTCACTGCCTCGTTTCTAGGTTTGGCACATCTGGAGTAGGAGGAGGAGAGGGAGCATGCTTCTCAGCGGTGCT